GCCTAGAGCATAGCAAGGTAGGGAGGGAGAAGGGGCCTAGAGCATAGCAAGGTAGGGAGGGAGAGGGAGCCTAGAGCATAGCAAGGTAGGGAGGGAGGGAGAAGGAGCCTAGAGCATAGCAAGGTAGGGAGGGAGAAGAAGCCTAGAGCATAGCAAGGTAGGGAGGGAGAAGGAGCCACGAATCACGATCAAAACAGCTTTGGTTAGTCTTACTTCGCGTAGGCAGGGTTCAGAAAGATTCAATCAAATAGCTGTGCATAAAGGGGGGGGGGGGAATTAGGGGTTATTTTCAACGGAGAAAAACACTTCTTTGATTAAAAAAGATTTAGTTTGTTTACTGTGGCCGGATTTCAAGAAAAATATATTTTTCATAATTTTCTATTTGCTTCCCCCCTGCCCCCGTGTAATACAATATGGGATTGTATTCACCTTTTAAACACACTTTTTGTGTTTAGAGCGATTAACTCTTCAACAAATAAAATTCTAGATGTTCAAAACAATTATTTTCGAAAGATTGCTAGTTAACAACAACACTTTTACATCTTTTTATAAAAGTGTTTGGACCTTTAAATCCAAATATGAGAAGTTTAAAAATTTTCTTTTTTCAACCCTGAGAAAAGTTGGCACAAAGATAACCAGAAAACTCTGAAATAGGAAGACGACTTTTAAACTCAAGTTAGGACTAGTTCAATGAACATTAGACATAGCAATTGTACAATGTGAATAGACCCTTTTTTACTTAAATTGGGCTTTGCTAAGTTACTAGTAAAGATATTTGCTTTGTAACAACATGAAAACAAGTTTTGCTAAAAGTGTCATCTTTCTATTCCATTGTTTTCTGTTTATCACTGTAAGTTATTAGCTTAAGATAACATGCTTTCATCGTTTGCTAAAGTAACTTTTAGAAAATACAGTTTTGAAATGTTAGAACTTTTACTAATTTTTTGATGACTTCAAATCAAATCAATCAAATCATTTATTAGGCCGCAATCTTAAAACATGCATATTGATAAAAATAATTGACAAATATATATATTGTGGCCGGGGAGCTACAAGATACCTCAGGCTGTTTTCACACGATAAGATTTACGCTTTGTGGAATGTGCATGAATTGTGCACAAAAATGGCAAAGTGTATAGCGTTCAAGATGAGACAATGACGGCAAACTCATCAGTCAGAAATAATAAAAAGTTGTAGGCTCAATGGTTCTTGATCAAGAAAATATTATTACTATATGTTATATGTTAGTTTTGATCTGAATAAACAATTAAAATAAGCTAAATATTTCGTTAGACAAGGATATATATGATATTCTATTATATATAAAAAGCATGAAAAATATGAACAGAGCTGGGAACTTTAGAATAGGATACCTTCAATCCCGACTGCTTAATCCGAATATCCAATCTTAACCCTTTTAATTTCTTGCTTAATCCACTCATTTTTGGATATATTACAAAAAATTAAAAACGTATTTTTCTAAATTAGAGAGTTCCTCCCGTTTGTGTAGAGTAAAGTGCATTTCCATAATAATACATTTGTTGTGCGTAATAATAATAATAATACTAAGGTTTCCTTAATTTAATGACATACAGGTCTCAATTGGACAGCAAACGAGTTATCATGAATAAATGCAATATTGCGCATAATGTATAATTCTAAAACTTTTATTAAAGAAATATTTTCATATTTGGTCTACAATCTACATATGACTGATAAATGCGTTTAACATGAGGTAAAATGTCTTAACAAAATTTTTCGAGTTTTTAGCTCAAAAGCTAAGAATATTTCAGGAGCTAAGGTCTCAAGGCTTAGAAAAACAAGCAAAAATCCGTTTGTCTTTGGAAGATCAAAGTTCACATTTAGAAAATCCGGATTAGCTAAAAAAAATTGTGGTTAAAACATTTATGAAAATTGGTGTGTGGATATAAGAAATGATACATGTATATGCACTTACATAATAATATTCAAAAAGGGCACATTCAATGCGCGATTTAATGCGATAACATTTTTTTGATAATAACTATTTATAACAAAGTTATTTTGGTTATTAGTGTTATAACGTTTTTAGACAGAAATTTTCTCTTTATCGAGAAGGTTTAAGCATTATTAAATTTAATTTTGTCCCGAGCTTTAGGGAGGGACAAAAATGGGGAACATTGGATCCTTAAAAAATGGAAGGGCGTAATTAAAAGCTAATGGAGTGCATGAAAGTTTTTGATAAAGAACAAGGTCCAGGAAAGGAAGTATTTTTAATTCGTAAAATAGTGGTTCAGAATTAGCAGTATATCTAGATTTAGCAATAATTCTAATAATACATCTTTTTTGTTTAAGGCTTATTTTTGTACTTATAACACTCTAACAACTGGTAGACAGTATAAAATACTTGGCTGAGGTCGAGAGAACATTTTTAACCTTATTCAAGGAAAACGTTTTCTTTGAAATTCAAATTAGAGCAGTTTTAATATGTTAATCAAAAGTGAGGTTCTTATCAACATAAACACCAATAATATTATGTATGAAGGACAGGGGACAAAATTGTTATGAATTCTCTCAATAGAACCAGAAAACTATGGAATAGATGAGACACCAGTGATACAATATTTAAAGTGTGTTTGAGATTGTTACAAAGCAAAAAGCTGTACTGGTAGCATAAAGAAATTAGTAGTTGAACTGAGAATGTAGTATTGTGGATAAATTTTTCAGGATTCATTTGAGGGATATAAAACGTTTAAATGATGTATAATTACTGAGTTTGAGCGCAAAGTCGACGTTTAAAATCATCCATTTGGGTGGGTACGTTTTGAGTTCGATTTTTTAAAAATTATTAAATAACGACGACAAAGAATGTAAAAAAAACTACAGTATATAAAATAATTTAATGTTTAGGGACATATTTCTCAATTGAAATTTTTTCAATAAAACAATGTTAGAATCAATTATTTCTTTTTTATCTTGTATATCTTATTCTTTATGAATTTGTTTGCAGATTTCTTCAAATTCTTCAAATGTCGTCTTCAATACAAATTACAGGAAATCTACAGAAAATGTTTGTGGACAATGAGACATTACAGAAACTAATAATTGAATAAGATTAATTATTTACAATGATAATAGTTAATTTTATTATCTCAACCTGTTCCTAAACAACTATAACTTAGGTAACAGTTGAATTTTTACTACATTTAATTTCGCCGTTGTTATGGAAAAATTATTAAAAAAACGCAATTCCCAAAATAATCCCTCAAAAATTAACAATCTGTGAGAATTTTAAAGATTGAATTTGCGCTCTTGCTAAACAAATCTTCACCGTAAAAAAGTCTCAAATAATTCCTAAAATAATTTCTCCACAATATACTACATTCTCAGTTCAACTGTCATTGCCGGTTACTTTCTTTGAAAATTAATTTAAAAGCGAAATGTTCTTTGCACACTGCGCAATTGCCGTGTCTCACATACACTGTGACAATTCTTGGACTATTTAAATTCAAGAATTAAGTTTAAAAGTCGTCTTCCTATTTCAGAGTTTTCTGGTTCTTACTGTACACATGTTGTTATTGATTATAGGTTTCCCGCATTTCTTTCACTCTTGCATTATAATAATAAAATATGTAACAAATCAACTGTTTAGTGGATAAACAATGCGCCTGAAATCTGGAAGTGCAATCTATTTCCACTGAATAATAAGAGAAAAGAAAGTCGACCGGAGCTGAAAACTTTAGAATGAAATATCCAGAGAAGCTCCTAAATCCTTAATATCCAGATTAAATATTGCTTGTTCTCCACATGAATTTAAACTCCAGATTAATTATTCGACGGGATATCTGGATATTTCATTCTAAAGTTTTCAGCTCGGGCCGGCGTAATTATGCATGTTTTGTTTACTACGATGCACGAGGGGAGGAAGGCCAACCACAACAATATCACGTCCGAGCCACATTCTCCATGTTTTATGCCCCAGATTTTCAGAAAATATTTTTATTCGCAAGGGTTGCAAGGGTTGGACAAAATGAGGAGAATGTGACTCGGACGAGAAATTGTTGTGTTTGGTCTTCCTCCCCTGGATGCACATGCAGGTGCACCATCAAAATAGTTGTTAGTTTTGCAAGATAAGATTCCAGGGAATGTATGTAGGTTTTTTTTCCTAAAAGAAGTTACTAAGATCCATACTGAGATAATATGTTTTTAGTTTTTTAAGTTTTCAAAAATTCGTTTATTGCAATTATGTTAGGATTAAAATTGAAAATTTTGACGACGACCTTCATTCAAAAAGTGCATATCACATGTACTACAAGTGTGACCTTAAAAAGACAGAAGCCCAAAAGAGTTACGCGCACGCCGCGTTAAATTACAAGACAGAGAGAGAGTCTGTTCTAGCCGTGGCGCTCGGCCCCCGGTAGCCGCAGCGCTCAGCCCATCAAGTGTCTTTAGCCGACCTAACCCTAAAATATATACTAATATTTCTCTTTATTTTAATTCAACGCGGCAAGTGCACTTAACTTCTCTTAGCAACTCCCCCCAAAAAGCTGTGGAATATGAAGATGACGAGGTTAGACTCAAATCTGGTCTAACAATCATGAAACAGCATGTAAACTGTACAGTGTACAAATACAATTCACAGTCCAAATTCAATTAATTAATCGATTTTCAAGCTACATATAGTGAATCCCAGATATATGAATACATAGCAAGAGTTTTTGTAATGCGATGTATTACATATTTATAGATCAAATGCCGGGGAAAAATGAGTTTAATATTAATATATCAATTGCATTCATATTTCAGGGCTATTAATTTACCTTGAAATAAAAATAAAAATAAGTTTCTTTAGAATTATAAAAAAAACTTATGACGGTGTGTATGTATTCACTGCAAATACGAATAAAGTATTTGTTTAAAACAACAAAACTATCAAATAATACTGTCGTCTTCCAGTTCCACAGTTGTGTGGGTCCAACTGTATTTACCTGAATACTATTTCTATCTCCATGCTTTCCAAACCTTCCCAGACTGTTGTGGCTAGTGGAACATGACTTTCCTAGACTGTTGATGGATTCACGTTTTCCTAGACTGTTGTTTGAACCTCCCAGCTTTGAGGTTAAAATGTTGCTTCCGCATGATGCTGTATCAACGGATCCTCTCTTAATATTTGACGGATTTTTGAAGATTGTAAAATGACCCATAGATCCGCGTTTCCGGCCATTGTTGGGAACTCGAACTGTAGTAGAGGTTACCATTGTAATCTTGTAGCTTTTCCTGTATATAAGCATGTATAGGGTGTCACCTTTTTTCTGTTAAAGGTTTTGAGTCCAAATTACTGCTTAAAAGAGTATTACAACAAAATCTAAAAATTAGGGTTTTTAAATATTCAAACATAAAAATAATTTGACCTCCTTCCTCAGTATTAAACAGAAAATCTGGCTGCACAGTAAAAAGGCGAATAGTTTTATTTTGAAATAAATTTGTAGGATAAAGTTTGTATCATAAACCCCATACGAGATATTAGTTATTTTAGGTATTTTCTATCATTTGAATGTACGCATCAAACACAACATTGGAAATTAAATACTAAGAATTGTTGATTCTTTTTGGCGCGTCTAAACTTAATTAAAAGTGATCCTATTTTCCAAGATTGTGGATGTGCATTTTCTAATTAGGGAACAATACATTAAACATAAGTCAAATTTGTAGTTTTTTCAAGAAGTTTTTTGGACATCTCTACTTTGTTAAAAAAAAATCTGTATAGTTGAAATTATTAAGTAAACATGTGTTGCAAAATAGAATCTTTTAAAATGTTCGAAATAATTATACTTAATAAGGGGTCATTTTCATGATAAATCTTTACGAAAAAATTTGTTCACGAACTATTGCTATATACCTATAGTATTAATCAAAGTTAAGTACGCCGGAAGAAAACATACTAGATATCTAGATATTACTGCACTAAAGGCCAGGAAAGGGGGTGTTTATTTACTTTCTCCTAGTAAGCCCCCCCTCCCTCTCACCCTCTAGATATTCCCGATACATACACACACAGTGCAATACTAAGGGTGGGGGTAAATGAAACCTTAAAATAGACAGGATGAGATGTCAAGGAATTATCATGTGCAAGTTTGTTGGTTTCATGATACAGGGATTCTCACGTTTTCAACTTTTTCAAAAACTATCGGTGTTAACGACACTAGATTAAACGAAAGACGAAACAGTCGTTTTTAAAAAGATAGTTTTTTAAATTTAAGAACTAAAAAATTGTCGCGTTTTTTCAAAAGTTCAAAACGAATGGTTCGTTTGTTTTGGCCCATCTTTTTTTCAAAAAACGATAGGATCGTTTTTAAAAACGATGAACAACCCTTTACACAAACTGCATGATGGGATACGACTAAAATATCGTCTTTGATGTTTGAATGATATTTTAGTATTTACTAGTGAACCTTACTCGACAAGTAGGACTGTGAAACAAAAATCAATATTACCCCTTTTCCAGGCAATTTGTGCTTGCAATACAATTGGAGCTCACTTCAGTATGCCGAGTCCATTAGCGCCAGATCCAATCAAGGTTCAGTCATATGTGTGTTGTCTATTCTTAACCAATAGAAATATTATGGCGGTAACATCTATTTTTCTATCTATCTAATTAACCAATTAGAGTTATGAATCCTTCAACGGCGCTATCAGTGAATGGAAATATTTACTTCTACTGAAACTATAGTGCACAGATATGAAGATTTATGTTCTTATCTAATTATTTTATAAAACTAAATTGTCTAGCATATGATATACTACTTTAATAGGTGTTACACGAGTTACATGAGGGAGGGAACCCCCGGACGCCATTATAGCCTTCGCCATGCAGACACGAGCCTCCCATATTTGCTAGGCGGACCGAGCCTCCGGTATACAGCACAGCTTCCTTTTAATTCTTGGTTTTAATATGCAATACAGATTTTTTTCAACATTTTGGCACAACAATTTTAATTAAGATTAATGTTGTTTATTGATTGTTATGATTTGTATCGTATATTGACTTATAAAGTGGTTTAGAAGATTTCTGTTTTACAATAAAACATTTTTTACTCAGTAAGGAGGCTTTTTGGAACTTCATTTCTGAATTGAACCTAAGTTTATTTTGTTGTAATCTTTGACCTTTTTTTAGATTCAGATTATTTGTCAATGTCAAATTTTTTATTATCTTTATCTAATAAAAATTTCATAAAAAGGTATCGCTTAAATCTAAGATTAAAAGATCAAATCACTTTCATAATGTTTTCTCTCAATGTTTTCCTCTTCACGTTAAAAAACGTTGCAGTTTTATAAACCACTTTCCTAGTTATAATTAGTCACTATCTTATTGATTAATACTTCTGGTCTTTGATAAACTTTTTATGCCACTTTGTCGAGAAAAAAAATCTTTACTAGTTTACTGTATAACGGAGACTCTAACTGGATGGCGGAAGCTAAGTCTGCCTAGCAAATCTGGGAGGCTCATATCTGCATAGCAGAGGCTCATGACGTCCGGGGGTTCCCTCCCTCGTTACATCGTCTGTACGCAACATCCCCCTACTGAACTTCTGACCTACTACAATATCGGACCTACAGCAGCTGTTTATTTTTAAATTATTTGAGGGTTAGGTTAGGTTATGTCTATTTCTGGGCAGAGCGCCACGGCTAGGACAGGCTAGGGCCCGGGCGCTGCGGCTGCAAGTCCATCTAGCAGATGTAAAACAACGTGCTAGTAAGTCGGATGTGTAGTATTGCGGATTTGGCGTAGGTCAGAAGTGGTGTATAGCGGATTTGCGTAGGTCGAAAGATACACCATTATTTTAATAAGATGCAAAGAACACAGATAACACAAAAACAATTTAATGTCTTACATGTTAATTTATAATAAAACTTTTTAAATTATACTTTATTAAGACATAATAAATCACTGTGAAAATCATTATTAATTACAATTAATCATGAGAGAAATTGTTCACAATCATTGTTTCACTGGTTAATTGGTTAAACATACCAAGTAGCAAAATAAATCAAATGTGTAGCGATTTAATTAAAAGCAATGAGCAATCAGCAAAAAGATCCTTCAGAATTTATTTTAAGGTTAAGTTTACGACTTTCTTGGGAGGACAGGTTTAAAAAGGCGAGAAAACAAATAATTTTGAAACGAAATTTTGATTTTCATTTATGCCCTACGCAGATTACATGATAAGGTTCATGATGCTAAAATGTTGCAGGGAATATAAACGTAATTTGTTTATTGACCCCTGAATGTACCCTTCAAACACTTCACTCAGCAACAAAGTTTAGAAGATATTGCATAGAGAAGTTTTTAGTTCTGACAATTTCTTTCTTAATCTCTGCTGCATAATTTACAACCCCAAATTGAAAATCATCAATTTTACAAATAGAAAAACAACATTTTTGTTCAAGATATAAGTTTGAAGGGAACAGTTGTGAATCAGTCATGCTCAATTTAAAAAGGGTCATTTAATATTATTTATAATTAAGTTGACTTTCACTTAATTTTTCCTTGAAGGGTAGTTTCCTCTGATAGCACTAAATTGCGGAGAGCTGAGGACATATATCTGAATTGTGTTAGAATCTAACTAACTGAGCCCAAAACATATTTGTTTATCTGACGAATCCAAAATGTTTCTGAACTATATATTATATATATTTAACTAGAGCAAGGATTAGAATCTGAACTCCGGAAATCTTTGATAGAGTTCAAATGTCGTCTTGACTCTGAAAGCTGATCCAGAATGTTTTCAAATCTAAAAATGAAATCTTAAAAAAGTGATTGAAATTTTATTTATCATGAAATTTCAAGTAACCCTCCATGCAAAGATGGCATTGCCCATCCTGCAAGAGTAGTGCAAACCCCGGAAATCAGCACTATTTTTATAAAAGACGACATTTATTTTGGTGGTTAGTCACTTGAACTAACGTCATCGGAACTATTGATATTTTCACTTTTGTTTATATTGACATGTTTTGATTGAGTTTTGCCGTTAAGTTTATAATGTTTTACTAATTGCATTTAAATTTGTTATGTCATGATTTTATGCAAATAAATTGTAATCCAAATCATCTCCTTAATACTGTTTCTAGCCCTTGTGATGTAATCTTTATTCTAATTACTACATTTGGAAACAAACATGTTAGAAGCATTAACAAATGTCGAAATATTCAATAGCTCAAACAACAGTAGGTCGGAAATTTTAGCATCTTGATATAAAAGTTCTAGCATTATTGATTAAATGTCGTCATGCTCATACCAGTGCCTATTAGGGTTTGCAAAATTCTTGCATGGTGTGCCCAATTTATAACGGTACCCTTAAAACCTTAATCTAATAAAAAATGTGGTAGTAAGATACCGTCGTTTATCTGACTTAAAGTGTTTATTTATGGAGTTTCTTCATTGCTTCTTCTAAACAAGATATTCGCAAGTCACTTTCACAGAGAAAATACAATTGAAAATTAACAGTTTAAAGGAACAAAACATTGATATCTAATTCATACTTGATCAGACGAAGCTTACAAAGGTTCCGTTGTAAATCGGCAAAGCCATCTTTGCATGGTGGGTCACTTGAAATTACGCTTACAGTCCCTTTAAGGTATATTAGTTTTTTTTTCTTTTCTCATGAACTTTTAGGGATGCAATTTCACTAACTTTGCATCCGACCAATATATGTTAAAATGGTTTACACCCCTGTTCCTCTGGTAAGGGCATTTAAAATTTAAATAGTATTTCTGTTGAGATTTAAGAAAAATTATGAGTTATGTATATTTTTTCTCATCTTAATTGTTTAAAGAGTTGAATTGAAATTACCTAGTCAGCCTTCCTTGGTTTTCTTCTCCTAGACTTGACTTCAGGTTCACGAAAATTCCCCTCCCCTTTATCCTCCTCCTCCCCCGGGGATCCGTCCTCGGCCTGGGATCCGTCCTCGTCCTGGGTTCCGTCCTCGTCTTGGCTCCCTTCATCCTGACTCCGGTCATCTTGACTCAGATCCTCATCAGATTCATCAGGAATATCGTCTTCCTAAATTCAAGAGTTTCAGTAAAATATCAAGAGGGGGATATTTTCTAATCGCACAGGAAGTCAGAATTTTTGCGCTGAAAATCTCGGGATGAAGCATTAATCATCTTCTTATGCAGATCTATAGATTAATCTAATTCCTCTTAATAATGTACATATTCTGCAGAGATCATTATTTTAGTTGAGAGATCAAGCATTAGTCCCCTTCTTATGCAGATCTATAGATTAATCTAATTCCTTTTAATGATGTACATATTCTGCAGAGATCATTATTTTAGTTAAGAGATCAAGCATTAGTCCCCTTCTTATGCAGATCTATAGAATAATCTAACTCCTCTTAATAATGTACATATTCTGCAGAGATCATTATTTCAGTTGAGAGATCAAGCATTAATCCTCTTCTTATGCAGATCTATAGATTAATATAATTCCTTTTAATAATGTACATATTCTGCAGAGATCATTATTTCAGTTGAGAGATCAAGCATTAATCCTCTTCTTATGCAGATCTATAGATTAATCAAATTCCTTTTAATAATGTACATATTCTGCAGAGATCATTACTTTAGTTGAGAGATCAAGCATGGTAGTTGTGTAAATTAGTTGTTAAAAAAAAGGTTAGAAAAGCAATTTTTCAACTTCTATTGCTGGTTTTAGTGCATTTTGTTATTATTTAAATCTTTGTAGAGATTAACAATATCCAGGGGGTATTTTTTGGAACCAAACAAGACAAAAGATACTTTATTTAACAACTCCTCGAAAATTAAAAACTAGATACTTGTGCATATTTATGAGTGTTTTTGTTAAGGATTGTAATGGCTTTTTAAGCCTAACCTCGATTTCTTTGGGTCACCAGAGCCGAAAACTTTAGAATGAAATATCCTAAATCCCAATTACTTAATCTAAGTATCCAATGGACACACTTTTGATTTTCTTCTTAAATCGTTCTTTCTTGGATATAGTATGGAAAAATCAAAAACCAGTTTTTTGAAATCTAGAGAGTCCCTCCCGATTCTGTATATTAATTTTAAATGGCGCGCAAAATTTCAAATTTATCGGCTTCATATACACCACTCTGATTGGTTGAATTTTATACACTTTTCAGGATACTAGTACAAGATTAGGTTAGTCTCGATATTAAGAAAAAGGGAGGATCAAGCATTACTCTCGATATCCATCATTCTAAAGTTTTCAGCTCAGGACCCTTTTAAGGATAAAAATTAATTCAATATTGACAATAAATATTTGACCTCAACATCTGAATCCTTCTTATCTTCTCTTCTACTGGTTTGTGGCACAGGCTCCCTTCTAGAAATAAAAATAACTTAACATTTCTGTACACTGTACACTGTACACTGTAAACTGTAAACTGTACACTGTAAACTGTACACTGTAAACTGTACACTGTACACTGTACACTGTACACTGTACACTGTACACTGTACACTGTACACTGTACACTGTACACTGTACACTGTTCACTGTACACTGTACACTGTACACTTTTATGAAAAGGTTTTGCCTTAAAAGGGCTGTAAGCGTAATTTATAAGTGACCCTCTATGCAAAGAGGGCAATGTTCGATTTACAACGGTACCCTTTTTGTCGTTCACTGTACATCAAGTAAAGATCTAGGTCTTTGTTTAAATATCTTGAAATCCACTTAATTTCCTTATAAAACGCGGTATACGCTGTGTTCACATTGACCTCAACACTGCTCATGCGCTACTTGTGTAACTTGACATTGATGAATAATTTCCAAAAATATCTATTTTCTAGAAAGTGGATATTAATATTTTAAAACTTAACTTAAAACTTAACAGGTTGCAAACAAAGTGTTCAACGATTAGACTCGTTTTAAGGAGAATAAATCCCACAACACTGTCAGTCGAAGGTATTGAGGGTATTGTTGTAAATCGTGCATTGCCATCTTTCCATGGAGGGTCATAGGAAACTACGCTTACAGTCCCTTTTATACTCAAAATTATTCATCAAAACCCTCTTGTTTAAAGAAAGTTTTTAAAAAATCTTAAATTCGACAAATATAAAATATGAAAATAGAGAAAATAAAATCGATGTCTAAATATACTCGGGTTAATTGGATGCTTTTCTTTTTCTAACTTTTTAATCAGAAAATAAATTGGCCGCTTAACGGACATTTTATTGACTGCAATGATGTCAGTATTGACTGGTGCAATTTTTACTAAAACTTCATTTTACCCTATTGTTGGATACACGCAGAAGAAAAATCAAAAAATTTACAACAAAAAGCGCAACAAGTTTAAGTAAATTCCCATATTTAACTCTGCGTTACCGATTTTAATAAATTAGAATACTGTGCAATTATAGTTTAGTAAACACAGAAAATAATCCTTTTAAACAACCTACAATCCGTGAAAATGAGAATTGCAGAAAAATAGTTTGAATTGCAGTACCTGGGGGGATAGATACAGTCTATACAGCAGACAAGCATCAGCCCAAGAATTCCACCTGAAATATTAGTTTTAAACCAGTGCTTAGGATCCGAATCCTGAACCATTGGATCCGAAAGATTTTGGCTTCCTGGATCCGGATCCGGATCACAAAAATATGCGGATCCACGGATCTGGATCCAAGGGGCAAAATTACAACAAAAAACGGAAAACAAATATTCTTTTACTATCAAAACCCAAATCTGAACTGTTGTAAAAAGATAGATTTTAAAAATGTTCTGATCTCTGAATGGTTCATCAAGTTTTAGCATAAAAATAAGCGAAAAAAATATGAAAAAGATATTGACAATTGTTAAAAAAAAAGTCAGTAATTCTTAAAGAAATATTCATGAAATGGATCCGGGTCAATTTTTTCCCAAAAAAAGAACGCTGTTCTTAAGTTAAAGATTTTTCTAACAAATATTGCCAAAAATTAAGAAAAAAATTAAGAACATTTTCCAAAATAAAGATTTTTAAGAATATCTTTGTGATACCGTGAAAAATTAAAGATTTTTAAGAACATTTTTTTAAATCCCACAAAATTTTAAGTTAAAAGATCTAAACCATATTAAAAGCTTAAGAACATTAAGAACGAATTGCTGTTTTTAAGCCAAATCTTAAATTTAAGAAAAGAGGATAACTGTGTTTTCAACAGTGCTTAGGATCCATTTAATTTTGATGCGGATCCTGGATCCGCACAGGAAAAAATGGATCCGGAGATCCGGATCCAGGTCAATTCTTAAAGATTTACTGAATTTTTTTAACAGAAAATAATTTTCAAATTTTTTGTTTTATATTTTTTCGCTTATTTTTATCCTAAAACTTGATGAACCATTCAGAAATGAGGAAATTTTTATAATCTCTCTTTTTTCAAAAGTTTCGATTGGATTTTAGGAGTAAAAAAGTTTTTTTTTTGTAGTTTTAGGTTGATATTTTACCGGATTTCCAACGGATCCGGATCCTAAGCACTGGTTTTCAGTGTGGATCCAGGATCTTAATCCGGATCCGCATCAAATACAGTATAATATAATTTTCCTTAAATAATTATTCCCCCTTGTCCCCCTTTGAATATAAAATTCCCCCCCCCCCAGAAGTTTATGGGTAGAAAGTATGAAAAAGGATGAAGAAAATTTGTTTAGAATATTTACCTAGCAAAATAGTTGCTACTGCGAAGGCCACATATGAAGCCCATGAGGGCATTTGATAATCTTCTGTGAGTGTTGTGTGAACATTTCTGAATAAAAATGTTTTATAGTTTTATAGTTTTATAGTACTCGAATATCATGTTTTCTTTTCCAACTTTTGGGAAAACTGGTGTAAACTTGTAGAATGTTGACCTAATGTATTAAACCGCCTTTTGACTAACATTACTGATCCATGATTGCCAACTAATCCCTTGTAACAATTGAGAAAATAATAACATTGTGAAATTTGAATTAACCACGGATTTCTCTATGCCAATTTTGCGTACAAAAAAATCCAAACCCTGTAAAGAAGTTAAAAATATTTTAAAAAAAGACCTGAGCAGCATGGATAGTTTGAAGAAGTGTGAGACCAAAGACATCTGGAGGGAGTCTGGGGACTTCCAATCAGAGACTGCCTCTACACTCGTCCACTTCTTCTCTTCGACATAGGTGATGAAGGAGTCCTTGTCCCTGGCACCACGGTACTGACGGAACACGCCGTCCTTGACGCTAAATACAGAAAAATAAATATCCGCGAAAATCAATAAATATTTGCAAGCATTTATCATTCGATCCAATTATCTAACTCAATCAACTAATAAATCAGGTGTTTTAGGGGAAAATAGATTTTGGGGGAAATCCTTATCCCTGAAATTTCAGTTATCACCCCCCCCCCCCAATCCCCCAAATAAAACGAAGAATATTGAATTGAATTTCCTCACAAGTCCAGATTCAATGTTAAAAAGCTGCCAAACAAACAATTAAATAATCAAATCAATTTTAAATGTCTTCTTCCATAGTTAGGTAAGTTGTTTGATATGTACTAAAGAGAATGATAAAAAATATTGTATGACAATCATATTAGAGTAAAATTGATAAAACGAAGAATATTGAATTGAATTTCCTCACAAGTCCAGATTCAATGTTAAAAAGCTGCCAAACAAACAATTAAATAATCAAATCAATTTTTAAAAAAATAATTCAAGAAATGTAATGATCAATAACAACTAGCAAGGATATGATCATTTCAATCAATGAAAAAATATAAAACGATAAACATTTTTTCTTCTTACTGGAATATAGTTGGTAAAGCTGTCACCATAAACCTCCCGGACAGTCCAGGACTTTCTGTTACATCAACCTATAATAATTAATTTTTTTGACGGCGTATAACTGGTTATATAATTTAAAAAAATTAGTTTTGCTTTAACAAATAGTCAAAGCTAAAAGAAACAATGATTTTCTCCAGCGCTTAAGATCCGGATCCGCAACATTTTAGCTTCCTGGATCTACCCGGATCCGGATCCGCAACATTTTAGCTTCCTGGATCTGGATCTGCATATCCAGTATCCACGGATCCGGATCCAAGGGGAAAAATAGCAATCAAAACCTGCTTAAAACGTTTTGCTCTCAAATACAAACATCACAACTGTTACCGAGAGATTATCAAAAACTTTCTTATCCTTAAATGGTTCATTAAGATTAAGAACAGAAGTAAGCAAAAAGGGAGTTTGACAATTTGATTTCAGTTTTTAGTCACTTATTTATTTTTCCACACAAAGTCTTTCGTCGCAGTTAAAGTTTTAAATACCTTTATACTATTTTCAAGCATTGAATGGTCTGAACATTCATACATTTTTCGTTACTTCTAAATTGGACCCAAACAAATATTTTAAAATTTAAATGAGATAAAGCCTAACCTGAGCAATTCCAATTCCCAGATCGTCTGCCCATCCACTGAACTCATCCCAGCTCGGCTGCAGGGCTCGGCAGGCAGGGCACCAAGGGGCGAAACTAAAAATATCAAATAAAATAGGATCATTCAAAATATGAAATAAGAGAAATTTTAAAACAAAGCTCTGATAAAGATTAATTTCAGAACAAATTTAGAGCTTAAAATAATGGGGGGGGGTCCAAAATTCGTTCTCTAGGAAGGACCCAGGCTGTAGGTATAATTGGAGGGTTGTAGGAAAGCAAAGTATTGAAATTATCAGGGGTTAAATTCTACTGAAATTTTAAAATACGCTAATATACTTAAAAATTACTTACAATTCCACCATCCATTCTCCTTGAAGCACATCTCTCCAATTATCCTCTGTTATCTTCTGTAGTTTACCCTCTGCAATGCTGAGAAGGAGAAACAACGATAAAGTCAGTTTGATCTTCATTTCTACCGTTGTGGATTTCGACACATCTGACGGATTTTCCTAAATAATGAATACTAACTGTTCCTGGTCTTCTATTGGTAGATTTCTCGGCAGGTCTATATCTCGGGCATTCATTGGCTGAAACAATTTTAAAAACCGGTTGGAAATTCAGCAGTGCGAACTGGGGGCAAATCTTGAAACAAAGATAATAAATGTCGTCTGTTTACAAGTAAATTCGAAAATAAAATAATATTCATATTAATCAATAATTTCTCATATTTACTTTACAAACTCAATAAAATTAGTTGATTAAACTTAAAAACATATCATTAATGTCATTTCATGTTAAAGGCAAAATATTGTTCTGCGATAAACCAATTTTTCGAAGTTTGCTCTCAATGCAAAATTTTCGCAATTGCTCTGAATGCCGCGAACTCTGTAGAAAGCTTGTGTGCAAAACACAGATGTGCAGACCGCAGTCTTTGTTCTAAAATTGTAAGGTGAAAACAATATTATACATATGGAAGAACAGGAAGGATGGGAATTGGATGTACAATTATGTTGACTAAAAAGGATGAGACTTCATGAGACGACTGTACGGAATTTATTGGTTTGTTTTCTTATGTTTATGATTTTTTGCAACTGTAAACTTGTTTTTTCTTTAATAAACCAAATTCCCTATTATATTCAAGGCATAAGACCCTACAAAACCTTGGAATTTTTTTCTATGAATTATGACAGTTGGTGAATACAGGGTGTCCCACGAAACATGACAGTATGAAGGACGACTTGAATGTCGTCTATATTTGTGATATAATTTGCTGCGTTTATTTGTAAACCTAATTTTAGAAGTAAATTTCTAGAGATAATAATCACAAAATTTCCCTTGTCCTGTCATTTCCAAAATGTGGTCTGCCTTTTTTGTGCTTTCAATATTGCCCGAGATATGAAGAATTTCGTTCAGATTTCGACAATTTTGCTTTTATTTAACAAAATTGAAATCTGAACCAAACTCTTTATATCTCCAGTAATATTGAAATCACAAAAAACGCAAACCACTTTTTGGAAATGCCAGGGCTAGGAGAATTATGTGATAATTGTTTCAAGAATCATACATGTTAAAGTAGATAGAAGAATAAATGTCACAAATAAATTCAAATACCAAAGACGACTTTCAAGTCGTCTTGCTATTGTCATGTTTCGTGGGACACCCTGTAGTTTAAAATGTCTTCTTCCATAGTTAGGTAAGTTGTTTGATATGTACTAAAGAGAATGATAAAAAATATTGTATGACAATCATATTAGAGTAAAATTGATTTCAAAGTAATTAAAAAAAAGTATATGAGGAAAAGCTGTTTTTTTTAACGAAATAACCTGCAAAAAGTCTTTAATATCCAATATAATATACAGGGTGTCCCAAAAAACATGGGAATTCAGTGACGAATTTGATATCGTCTTTTTAAAAAATTCTTTGATTTAGTATAGTGATACCAACTGAGAAAGCTTTAATCTGTAAGAGTTTCGTCTGCTATGTTTACATTTTGTTTGTTTATGTTTTGACTGCATACGGTTGTACTTAGTAAAACAAGAAAATTGCAGTATACAAACAGAGAAAACTTGTCCGTCTTCACTGTTCATCTTGCAGAGACATTAAAGACACATCTTTACAGTCTTCTACCCTTTTCATAAAATAAACTCTAGCATAGATAATAATATTATGCTTTTGAAATTAGGTATTACAATGCTAATTCATAGCAAAGACGATATACTATTCGTCACTGAATTCCCATGTTTTTTGGGACACCCTGTATGGAAGAAGAAATTCAAAACTATTCACGAACTGTCATGTTTCGTGGGACACCCTGTATTTAAAATGTTTCGGTTACGTACAGCTTACTCAATTACGACTCTTATACAGTCTCATCCTTTGTGGGTAACTCTATAGCTCATGAAATCATGATTATATCAATGATCAGAATTAAAGCATTATTTTAAATTAATGTTCATAAGAAGCTGACGCAGTTAGTCGAATATAAAGAAAGAGCTGTCAACGAGTTACTTTTATTATAGCAACAATTATTGCCATGGTAGAAAACGATAGGAAGGATAGAAAAGGATCGAAAGGATGGAAATGATAGAGGAATAGTAAGGATAGGTATAGGATAGGAAGGATAGAAAAGGATAGGAAGGATGGAAATGATAGGGGAATAGTAAGGATAGGGATAGGATAGGAAGGATAGGAAGGATAGAAAATGATAGAAAGGATGGAAATGATAGGGGGATAGTAAGGATAGGAAGGATAGGAATGATATAAAGGACAAGAACATAGATATTTGAGTAGGAAGGATAGGCAGAGGATAGAAAGAATATAGAAAGAAAAGAAATGTGAAATAACGAAAAAAAAAAAATTGTTTTTCTTTAGAAAAATGGTTTAAGGAAATGTCCCTGTATTCCGAACCTGATCATGTTCTCCAACTGATCACTGGTCTCCTGGACCAGCAGAAGGCTCAACAACATTGTGATGTTCTTCTCCAGCATGGGAGAACTGTCTACCCTGTTCATGCAGCTGTGTTTTATATCTTCTGTGGGGGACCATCTTCATGTCAGGTTCAAATAAATAAAATTTAGTTGTCATGGTTTATAATTTCTTCAAAATAAGAAAAATTTCCAAATTCTATATCTAAGTAGGACCCGTCCAACCAGAGGCGCAACTAGGACTTTTGCTAGGGGGGAATATATATTATTTTGTTAGGGTTTGGGGGGGGGGGTTTCCCCCCCTTTTTCGAAAATTTTTCAAAAACAAAAGTGCTTTTTTAAGGGTTTGAAGTCGAAAAAAGGAAATTTTAAGTTGTTGCATGCAGATTTGGCTGTTCCTCTCAGGTGCTAGGGGAGGGTGCGCGCCCGGTCCCCCCCTAGTTGCGCCTGTGCGTCCAACCAGGGATGAAATTATTTAAGTTGTTTTGACAGGAGTGTGATGAAATTTGTTTTTTTTTCATATCACATTCTATTTTTAAGTTTTAACAAAAAAAAATAACTTTTTACTTTTCTGTTATATTCAGTGCGAGCTCCAAAATAAAAGAAAACGGCATTTAAGCAATCTCAATGTGTATTTGATGTTGCTTTATATAAAATAAAGCCAATAGTTTTACAATTAGTTGGAACATCCAATTATAAAATCGACTGGATCTGTGTACAATGTGCAATTGCTGTATTTAATGTTTATTGAACTGTTTAAAATTTAACAGTCGTCTCCCTATCCTCAGTTTTATGGATTTCAAGCTGTAGTTTCTGTTTAACACTTATAATCATTATCTTTGTCATTTATTCAGAAGCTCCCAAGCTGTGAAACTATTGACCTGTCTGCATGTAAAAGTTTAGATAGCTCCTTGATAGACAATTTCATCCTCTACCTGTACACAGGGAACTTACACGTGGACCAGACCAACAAACAGGAACTGAACCAGCTGGCAGATTTTGTAGATTGTTCTGCACTAAAGCAGAAATTAAATCAACTGACAGGTAAAAAACATCTGGGGGAAAATTGGTCTTCTTTTATGTAAAAAAATGTATGTATTTGAGGTGGTGTTTAGTATTTGAGATACCAGTAATTAGGTATAAAGAAATAAACGATTATCAATCAATCGGTTCTCATAAAACTGTAGCATAAGAGGACGACGACTTTTAAGAAATTTAAAGTAAATTTAATGTTGTTTTGATGTTGCTAGATACAGTAATTTGAAAACAAACTTATATAAGGTAAAATAATTTGCTGTGTTTCATGTTATATTAAGGACTTCATATGATATATGTATATAAATCATTTGTATATTCAATCAAACAGTTTAAAATTGGGATCTTTGTGGAATTTGTGAAATTCCTAAGAAGGGACTGCAGCCTTGCAGGTTCATTTGGTATACCGTCCCGTTTTGCCTAGTATAATCTGTACATGTACTGTACAGCTTTTTCTACCTGGTTGGATGTTGGCCTGAGCCCGAAATTTAAAAAAGTGTCGTTGTTAGGGTCCTAACATTTTGTAGATTTTGATTCAAGACATTTGGAAAAAAATGGAGAATATGAAGAAACGAAATAAAAAAATATTTCAGAACAAAACTATTGATATCCACAAAACTGCCTAACCCCCATTCGTGAAACCCGGGTTTTAAAACTGGTTTTAATAACGATATCCTGTCTTAAGTTTTGGGCTCTGGGTTGTTGAAATTAACCGGATAAAATATAAAAATATTAAAAAAACGAAAAAATATTGTTAAATGCCACTCCTAAGCAATATATTGTTTATTACAATATTTATTTATATTCCCTCTTCAACTGACGTATCTCAGAAAAGTTTTTTTAATTATCCTACAAGTTCATGTAATAAAATATTCGGATCAAATTAAGTTTTAGAAAATAAATGATATTATTCTAGACTTGATATTCATGGTTTTACAAGAAAACTTATAAAAGCTGACTCAATATCGTTGTATTGTACCCTATCTTAGGGCCATTTCTAACATACTAGGCTGTTAGGGCAATTCGCACCCATCTTCTATTTCAATTGTGAACATGTTATGTTCTCATTGTAACATTATAAAACAAAGAAAAACAAATTTCGCGGATTTTATAAAAAAAAATTGCGGATTTTTAAGATTTTAAAATTTTTACAAAAATAAAAAACTTTTAAACACAATTTTTTTAATTTTTATCATTCATAAACCTTCCCTTGGGTCACGCGAGATCCCACAAAAAATTTGGGCCTGATCGGTTGAGCCGTATTGACGTTTATTGGATACGAAAAAAACAGACACCCAAACAGACAGACAATCCAAATCTATATATAGATGTTTGTCCATAATAATTATATGTTCCTCGAATAATCCTTCTGTGATTCTGAGAGTCAAATCTTTCAAGTTGTGCAATCTAACTGTGCAAAAAGAAAGGATGTTCGTGGGCATATTTTCCGAGAAAAAATTATTACATTTATTAAAAAAACGTTTAGCAGCTTTTTTAAAAAAAGAGTTAGAAAGACCATTATTCTTCACTAGAAATTCAAGGCGCTTCGCGCCCTTCTTTCTAGGCTTTTAGGGCGCTTCGCGCCCATCTTCTATTTAAATTGTGAACATGTTCTTTTTGTTTACATTTTAAAACAAAGAAGAAAAAAATTTTGCGGATTTTAAAAAACAAATTCGCGGATTTTCAAGAATTTTAATCTTTTTACAAAATTAAAAACCTTTCAACATTTTTAAAAAATTTTTATCATTCATAAACCTTCCCTGTGGTCACGTGATGTCCCACAAAAAATTTGGGCCCGATCGGTTCAGCCGTTTTGACGTTTATTGGATACAAACAGACAGACAAACAGACGGACAAGCCAAATTTATATATAGATTAAATCAACAAAACATATTAACAATCTTTATTTTAGAAAACCTAACAAGTAAACCTCTCAGGTTTGAGACTGAAACTTTAAGACTGAAAAAAATCCTGAATCTCTCAAGAATTAATGAAACTTCAAAAATGCTAGAATTACATCAAGAAAAATTAGAAACAAAAAACCTCAAGTCTGAATCTGAAATTACTGAAGAAATTCTAAAATTAGAAACTAGTCTAAATGAAGCTAAACATATACCATGTAAGACTGATTTTCAAGAACTGAAAGAAAAGACTGATTCATATAAACCTAAAAGACCATGTTCGAAACCTTGGAAAGCTGAGAAACCAGAAAATACAAAGAAAATAAAGAAAAATAAATGTCTGAGGGATTCAAATGAAGAAATTACTCCTCAACTTGAAAACGAGAACAAGAAGTTTGAGTGCAATTATTGTGGAAAAAAATTCAGGGATTTAATTAGTCATTTTAAAACATTTTTTGAAAATTCGTTCATTTGAATTGATATTTTAAAAATGAAAGATGAATTTTTGCTACACATGAAAGTCTAAAGTTGACCAAGTATATCATTGAACATATTGATGAAGTGCTCCAGATGTAAAAATATTCAAACTACTCGTAATATTCTATATAAAGTCACAGGATTGACCGTGCACTGTTTTTTAACATAGAATGTTACCCGCAAAGGATGTAACTTCAAACACGATTGTACGGAATTTATCTAAGGCAGAAGACCTTAGGTCGTCATTTAGGTCTTCTTCTTTCTGGGTACCCCTGTTTCAAGCAGTAAAATGACTTCTAATCTAACCTAGGTTCAAACATTGTCTAAGGAATCATGAATTCATTCATAAGGAAAAGTTCTATCAAAATATTGCATAAACCAAAAGATGATAAAAATATTTAGATAATTTTTAAGTCTCAAACATTTTTGCTTACTTTCAAATTCATTCAGTATAATATGATCAGAGAAGATTAGTCCAATAATGCAACATTTTTTCTTCAAAAACGTTGAAATTGAACAAATCTGTTGAAATTTTAATATAAATGGAAATTTTGCTGTAAATCTATGGCCGAAAAAACTATTTTATGGTCCTGGATCTAACCATTTTTAGATATTAGGCCATTGGTGCGATAAACCCATATATCGACATATTTGAATGAAGAAATATAATTTGTACTTGTAGTGTATAGATTGGTGCCCTGTTCACTGCAAAAACTATTCGTTTTTATAATTTTGATTGAATGGGATTGACATTGACAGACGGAAAAAAAGTTCTTGTGTGAAGAGTGCGGTTTCTCAACCCAACATTTTAACACGATGAAAACACACAGACAGGGGCATTCAGGAGAATACTTCCGGTGTACTTTGGACAAGTGTTCATTTAAGACATTCAGGTGGGGTTATAGGGTTATTCTTAGATATTTGTATAAGCACAACTAGAATCTTTGCTATTAAGTTCTCATATAGATGGTATTATTATGATGCAAGAAATCCTCGTAACGTTTTTAACAAATTTGCAGTCGTAAAGATCCTACAGAAAAAATTTTGCAAAGCTTAACTAAATTCAATCATTAATCTTTAAAATTTGATCTCTCATTTAACAATTAATTAATAGATTTATGTAATATATTGCGTTTCTTATAGTTTATCTTCATTCTTGCACGTGCACCTTACTTGCAGAATAATAGTTTGCAGTGCAGAAAAATTAAAGATTCCTAATTTAGTTCGAATAGACAAAATAGAGGAATTCAAGCGGGTTTCGATATAGAAAGATAAACGATTTAAAGGTCGTCTTTGATCTTGAATTTATTTGTTACATTCAGTCGTCAACTTACTTTAACATGTGTCAAGTATGATTAACAATAACCACAAAACGTCCAGGTCCAGTTGAGAACCTTCTTCTATCTTGTTTCAGACGGCAGAACTTGACAGAACATATGAAAACGCACAGCAATGCAACCATTCTATGTGATATTTGTGATACAAAGTTTGCACATCTGAAGAATCTGCGAAGACACATGAAGATGCATGACAAGTCGGGCACTCTAACCTGTCCATATTCTGACAAGGGATGCAGTTTCACATATTTAAGGTTTGCTGAGTTTGACATATTTATTTTAAAAGTTGCATTTCTCAATTTTTAAAATACCTTTTATTGGCATTGGCAAGTCTGACCTTTTACTTAAACCTCTCAAAATAAAAACAAGTTCCGATGTTACATAAATTCTGAAGAAAAAAATGTTAATTTGTAAGCACATGCCTGATGGGGTGAGTAGAAAATTGGAATGAAGTAAAAAAAAAGTGATAAAATACATGGTTATCCAAAAAGGATGAGACTTCAGAGACGATTGTACGGAATTTGTTTAGTCCGTTTTTTTTTATTCGGGGCTCCTTGCAGGCCAAAACTGGATTATGTCTGGGCTTAATCATTTAGTAAACCATCAGAATACTTTATTGAATGCATAAACTAAAAATCAAGCTTCTCTTTTACAAGTTTTTGATAATTTCACGTGTTCATCTTTTTTCTCCTGTCTCCGTCTGCATGTCTTCAGTTTCTCCATTTCTTGCTTCCCTTTGCCCGGCCATTTATGGAGCTGCTTTTGAAAGAATGTCTACGAGTCGCTCTCTTTGCGCCATTTTAAGACAGTGCACGATCACCCTTTCATTGAATTGTAATTGAAGCCTCAGCTCTGCACATTCTGTCCACTTGCATTTTCTACGTCACCACACTCCTAGAACTTTAAGTTAGTTTTTATTTGCTGCTAGGGAGCAATAGCTTTCCTGCTTTAAAACCGCACATTTTTACTTTCTTATAAAAGAAGGGTTGCCATTCCAAAGAAGGATAATCAAGTGACCCGTTCAGGGGTAATTTTGTTGTAGGATCCTCGAGCCTCATTTTACTGTTTTTGATAAGATTTTGAGAGTTTCGGGTCGTCTTTACAATGTCATCCTTTGTAGGTAACAATGCAGTTTTCTGAACATTATTTTAGAAAAAAAAATCCTTTGGTTTTAAATATTGTAATTTTAAAATGGAGTCACGTCAAACTAGAGTAAATCACCCGTAAGATGTTCATAAATGTTTTTGAATTTTTCTTATCATAAAGAGCTTTGAAAGAGACCAAAATGTTTGAATTTCTAATATGTAACCGAAAAAAAAATTAGCTTTTTTCCTACTTTTGCGTAAAATCAAAACTAGAAAAAGCACGAGATCGCAAAGTCGTGCCAGTGCAATGTTGCGTACATTTTTACCTTCTCATTGTGTCTATAGTTTGCAGATGCTGGCTAAACATTTTACCTGTAAATGTGTCTTGTGTAAAAACAACGCTCATCACGTTTTTTTCTCACCCTGTTTAAATGAATGAAAGTACTTTTAAGGTTCAGAGAGATTGATTTACATCTCTCAGAAGTGATTTTGGGAAACTATTCCTCAGGTTTTAAACAAAAAACATGTGGGAGAATAGACTCATATGTAAACAATTAGATTTAGTACTTTTGGTTTAAAGTACAACGATATTTTAACCAATATTTTGACGTTATTCATTCTGCATGTAAGTTAAAACGTTAATTTCGATGAAAACTATATTTTTGAATTCAGGGGAACCTTTTGACCTAAAAAATAATACTAGCTGAAAGGGGGAAAAATTTAATTTTTTTTAAATATCTAAATAATATATAACAAAAAATTTGAATAGAAAAAATCCGATTTTTTAAGCCTAAAACGCATGAGTTTCCACAAAAAAAATCAGCATATTCTGTTCAGCCATTTGGCCGGCTATGATGGGCAACATATATATAAATGTGTTGTTTTTTTACATTGATAAAAAACTAACATGAAAACTGCAGCTTCGCATATAGTTTTCTCTATATAAAAACCACTCAATACTGAATTTTTAAGCCCGGAGAAGAACTTCTTTTGAGTTCCACAATCAAAATTTGAAGCAAATCGGTACAAGGGTTCATAAGTTTTGATAGGACATTCACACAAATATACAGATAAACAGAGAACACTTTTGTCAAACTAGTTGGTATGCCGAGTCCATTAGCCTCTGATGATATTAGGGTTCAGTTATGTGTTTTTTGTCTATTCTGAACCAAAAGAAATGAATTGGCGGTAACATCTATCTTTAACTATCTATCTCATTATCCAATCAGAGTTATGAATCCTTCAATCGGCGCTGTCAGTCAATGGAAATATTTACTTCTACTGAAACTAGTGGGTGGTTGGTTAACATTTCTACAAGGGTATTAAACTGTTAACATTTCTACAAGGGTATTAAACTGTTAACATTTCTAATACGGTATTAAACTGTTAACATTTCTACAACGGTATTAAACTGTTAATATTTCTACAATGGTATTAAAAGTAAAGACGAAAATATTTTTAACAACAATTCTATTGACGTCATCCTATTAATATTATTTAGTGGATTTCCAGTTATAATTGTTCATGTGTACAATTATTAATATTATTTAGTGGATTTCCAGTTATAATTGTTCATGTGTACAATTATTAATATTATTTAGTGGATTTCCAGTTATAATTGTTCATGTGTACAATTATTAATATTATTTAGTGGATTTCCAGTTATAATTGTTCATGTGTACAATTATTAATATTATTTAGTGGATTTCCAGTTATAATTGTTCATGTGTACAATTATTAATATTATTTAGTGGATTTCCAGTTATAATTGTTCATGTGTACAATTATTAATATTATTTAGGACCGATTCTCCTAAATTTTAATTGGGGAACTCGGGAGAGCCACGGAACTGTTCTTAGCTTGGGTTTGAGAATGTAAGTTGAGTCGGTTGACTTTTAAATGAAAAAATAGCTATAATCGTTATTTAAGACCAAGCACAGGTAAACAGCGGGAGTATCTATGAATAATCAGGGCAATGCTGGGTTCCCAAGCTAGTGTTTAATATTTGAATATTTTAGAACTGACAAGCTGAAACTGCACTTGGGGAGAATACATAAAAAGCATATTTCTTCTTCTTCAGATAAACTAGTTATATCCTCAAATATACCAACCAAAAGTATTCACCTTCAATTAAAAACTCTGCCAAGCACAAGAGAGAAATCTCAACCCTCCGCTCAGGTCAGACCGAAGTTCCACTTTGAAACGGTCAACCAGAAGACAGAGATTAAACTTGACTCGGTCAGACCAAAGATTAACCTTGACTCGGTCAGACCGGAGATTAGCCTGGAATCATTGAGACCGGAGATTAACCTGGACCCCGTCAGATCAAAGTCGGAGATTAACCTGGACCCGGTCAGATCAAAGTCGGAGATTAACCTGGACCCGGTCAGATCAAAGTCGGAGATTAACCTGGACCTGGACAGACCGGAGATCAACCTGAATCCGACTAAGCGACACAAGGAGATAAATTTGAATTTTAAGATATCCGGAGATCATAATCTTGCAGGAGGAATCTGTATGGATACTCTTAAGTTTATAGGTTAGTACTTATTATTAAGTTACAGTATACAGTGGGACTTGCAAGTAATGATTTTCATTAATCTAATGAGCATGAAGCACACCAGTTGTACAGTAGGGTGTGCCAAAGAAATATAGAGTTTCTTAATCAAATTCTACTTATTTTATCATTATGTGTTGGGGTGCATAAAGTCATTTCAAAAAAAACATTTCAAAATCGAATAATATTTACCTGTTAAAAATTTGCACTTTAAAAAGTCGTATTTTTATGAGAAAACTACTTAATTTTCTTAGACGCGAAGCTTTAAAACTGTACTGGAAAGCAATAAACGACTCCAGGACCTTGTGTATTCGATTCTAGATTTAAAATCCCATCTATTTAGAACTACATAAAGTAAAAATCGACAATTCTAGAACTTTTTAAAATAATCCATTTTTAAAAAGTCGAATTTTGCTTTTAGTAAAGTTACAAAGCTTCGTGCCTAAAAAAATGTGTAGTTTACTCTGAAAATTACGACTTTTTAATGTGCAAATTTGAATAGGTAAATATTATTTTATTTTGAAATGTTTTTTTATATGAACTCTATTTGATCATACTAGCATACACATAATAATATAATGTGTAGAATTTGATTAAGAAACTTTTCATTTCTAGGACACACCCTACTGTACACTGTACACTGTACACCCTACTGTACACTGTACACTGTACACCCTACTATACACTGTACACTGTACACCCTACTATACACTGTACACTGTACACCCTACTATACACTGTACACTGTACACAGACTAATTCACTTTACTTAAGCATGTATGTGTAGTTTTGCATGCTAGTGGTAAAAATATTTGATTTATTACTTATTTTATTATTTCTTTAGTAGTATACTTTGATTTCTAAATGTTTTAATGTTACAATGTCGCAGATCTTTTATTTTAAAATATTCAAGTTACAAACTAAATTCACCATATTCTGTTAACCAAACCCAACCCCACAACAATTTTTGAAAGAACTAATAACTTTCATCATACTCTAATTTTATAATCCTTTGCAACCTGATCTTTCAAACTAGCGGCTCAAATAGTCAAAATTTAAACCCTCTTTCCCATTAATATTTATAGCTTTCAACTGTCACTCTGTAGGTCGTGATTTTTAAATAGCAATGTGGAGTTTGTTGCTAGAAATTTCTATTCTTATATTTTAGGTCCTCCTAATACTGAAGTTACTACATGTACTGCATACATTTAGAAGACAGCAACTACAAACTTTAAAAATGCAAAAAACAACTTTTCAACAATCAATCAATCAAATAGCAACAGCATGCTATTTATTCAAAACATGCTAAGATAAAATCAAAATAAACTATTCTTTTATGAAATTTAATGCTTTCCTAATAAAAGTTTATTCTAATAAAGCAAGGTTGGGAATCAAGTGCTGACTAAAGAGACGACTGTATGGAATCTCTGTTTGTTTTCTTCTATTCATGATTCCCTGCAACTGTAAGCTTGTTTCTTTCTTTTACAAATCATTAAATACGCCATTAAAAGATTAAAGAGGTATACAACTTAATTTAACTCTGAGCTTGCACTATTTTCAACAAGTTTTAGGTCGTCTTTACAGCACTGTACACATTCCAGTTAATTTCATGTACCGGGCCGGAACTAGCCAGAGCAAGCTGTACAGTACAAATACAGACAATATTAGGAAAAACGGTACAGTGCGTCTAATGAATGACTCCCTCCTACTGATATTAATGTGACATGTTTCATTCTTTGTGGCTAACCCTGTAGTAGTCATAACACTTAAGAATCACAAAATCACATTTCTTATTAAAATAAATAGCAAAGACGACACTGATTCTCGTTCAACACAGGGTCCAACACAAAGGATAAGACTGTAAAGACGACTTTAAAGTCAGATATACCGATTCTAAGGTTAAATGAAATCTTCCGCTTTGAATATAGTCTTTTGATTTGATGACAGGGAATCATGAATGCTAAGAAACATGAGAGTATAAAACCAGAGCCTGCGATTTAAAAACTTCGGCTCGAGCCATAACTCCATAAACCCCACTTTAAGACCCGATCTTCGACCTAACTCTGACGACAGCTTGTGTCACGTGATTGACTTAAGGAGTTAGGCCCAATGAAAATAAAACCTTGGTTGGGTTTAGTGGAGAATAAGGCTCAATGTTGAGTCTTGTTCTCAATGCGCCAATTCCTACCATAAAAATTCCGCCAAAAAGAATATTTAACCGGTTTATTGAACTCAACTCTGTGAAAAATAAGATGCAGCTTGAATCCGAAAGCTCAAGCCGCAAATAAGGCCCAATGACAGCTTATACCCGAGCCGTATTTTGTCGAATTTTTTAAATCGCTGTTTTACTCTGGTTTAAGCTTTTATTATATCTCTCAAGTCTCATCATTGTGTGAAACCCTGTATGAATCGTACAATATGTACTGTACAGTTTACACAAGGGCGCAGTTTATTTTTTAAAATAAATATTTTGTGATAGTTTTGCCGAAGAAAAATCTTGAAAAGGTTATGAAAAAAGTGTACGTTGGAATCTTAAAATCTTTTAATTATTGAAAACTCAAAATTTGTCATCAAAGATTTTTGTAAATCAAAATCTTTTTACAACATTTTTCTTCAAAGTGAAAATTTTCCAAGTTCAGTAAATTCTAAATTGAACGGATATGTATTAGAAAATTCCCCCTGTTCTTTTCAGTGAAAATGTTTAAATTTATTATTAATAAATATGTTTTATATTTTAAACGAAGTCCTTACGAATATCTCTGAAGGTATAAACCGTATTCTGCCATGATGGAAACTGTGAGCACTTAATCCCTTAAACTTTCTAGATCTTTCAAACGTTCCACCCACTTACATTTTTTTTGGCTAAATAGTAATACATTTTTATACTAAAATGTTTATTAATCTAGATATAACCGTCTACAACATTTACAATAATATTCACATTTATATATAATATATATATCTATAACATATGTAAATCAATACTTTATAACATTATAAAATAAATATTTATAATTAAACCATGATTAATCCTGAATAAAAATAAAAAGTTTTAAATTTGATTGAATAAGCTTAATAAAATAAGACGAACTAAGACCTTTCTGGAAACAAAATAGCCGCTTTTTTAAGATGCAAACGCACAACTGAGGCACTGAATGAGAAAAGCTTAGTCTCGAGTATAAATCCCTTAGTCTCATCCCTAACTCTTTACGAAAAAGTCGATATGATTTACTGGTTTAAAATCTGCTTCACAAACTAAGAAAAATTACTCAAGACTGAAGCCTTTGTTATTCTCAATAGTCTCAATAAGCGGCATCTTGTTTAAGGGACTTTAATCGTAATTTCAAGTGACCCTTCATGCAAAGATGGCAATGCCCCATTCACAACGGTACCCTTAAAGCTTTTGTCTGATTAAGTATGAAATAGATATCAATATTTTTTTTCTTAAAACTGTTCATTTTCATTTTGGGGCTCTCTGCAAAAGTGACAGGAGCAATTTCTTGCTTATAAGAAGCAGCAGAGAAATTAAACAGTCCTCCACACTTTAGATCAGATTAGGGTTTCAAGGGTAACGTTGCATTTTGAACTTTGCCATCTTTACATGGAGGGTCACTTGAAATTACGCTTACAGTCCCTTTAAGTTCATTTAACAAGTGTTCAAAAAAAACAAAGAAACATAAGAATCATGAAAGAATGAACAAAACAAATGTTTTGAACGACAATGAAAGAACTATTAATAATTTAAAAAAGAACCATTAGTAATTTTAAAAAGAGCTGAAAAATAAAACCCGCGACAAATTTATAAACTTTTAGATTTGACAAAATTTAACAAAAATGTGGTTATAAAATGTACATAATCTAACCAACATTTTGAAATTGATTCTTAACTTGAGAAAGTGATACAATGGTAATAATATCTTTAAATAAAAACCTATAATCTATAAATTTATTGGAACAGTATTTTTACATGACGTGCGTATTTAAACATTTTTTTGGTTTTTTTTTGGCAGATTTCTTATTAAATTAAATATGATATATTTTATTTGATATTGAATATTTTGGCATTCGTTTACAACTTTGGTTTCTCAAAAAACAGTTGACAATAAATTATATTTTGGTGCTATTAGGGTTTTAAAAAAATGTGTTTTAGAATTTACTTTATCAATATTAACTAAATTTGATTGGATCATATTTGACAATTCTTGTAGAACAGGTTTTAGATCAAATTCCAATCTCAGCAAATATCTTGTTACATTGTCAAATATAACAGGAATCTGCAGGAGCATGATATTATACTACCTAGCTGTTCATAACAAATTGTCTATTCATGATTAGGGTTCCAGCGAACGAGGACTTTCTCGAAAAAATGAGAAATTTTTGTTCTTATTTAACAAACTTTTTCTCGAAAATGAATGAAGAGAAAAAATGCGAAAACGACGCGATATTCTGAAAAAATAGTTTTAGCGAAAAATAATTTCCCGGAAAAAGAAATACGCGAAAACCATAATTGTTGTAGCTGCAACAATTAATTGCGCAAGAAACTTGTGGAATTCACTGCACTGAGAGCTCAGCATTAGAAGTTTTATTCTGTTAATAATTAATAATTAATAATTAATATAGTTTTGGTGCTATAGTTTTAAATGAATTTAGCAAATGTGTTTAAAAGTGCAAATCAAATTAAAGTCATGCAAAAACATGAATAGCGGGGTTTGTGTATAATCAGGGGATTTTAGTTTAATCAGTGAATCCTGTGTCTAATAAGGGGATTTTGGGTTCAATCAGCGGATCTTTTGTTCAATAAGCGGATTCTGTATTTGATTAGCGGATCATGTGACATAATTAGCGGAAAATGTCTTCACTTAGCGAATTTTGTGCAATACAGTGTGTTTAATCAGAGAATTTAACGTTTTATCTGCGGATCTGGTGTTTAATTAAAGAACCAATTATGTTTAAACAGCGGATTTTGTGTTTAATAAGAGGATCTTGTGTTTAAGCAGCGGATCTTGTGTGTCCACAGCGGATCTTTTGTTTAATCAGCGTATTTTTTTAGCAGATCTTGGTTTAAACAGCTGATCTTTTGTTTAACTAGAGGATATGTGTTTAATCAAAGGATTTTGTGTTTAAACAGCGGATTTGTATAATCAGGGTTCTTTTGCTACTCAACGGATCTTGTGTTTAAACAGCGGATCTTGTGTTAAATTAGAGGATCTTGTGCTTAAACAGCGGATCTTGTGTTTAAACAGCGGATCTTGTGTTTAAACAGCGGATCTTGTGTTAAATTAGAGGATTTTCTGTTTAATCAAAGAATCTTGTGTTTGAATAGCGGATGTGTTTAAACAGCGGATTTTGTGACTAAACAGCGGATCTTGTGTATATTTAGCGGATCTTATGTTCAATCTAGTATTTTTGTTACTTGGCTCAAATCCGTTGAACTACTGTAAAATCAGCTGAACTTGTGTAGAATCAGCTGTGTTTGTGTAGAATCAGCTGTTTTGTGTAGAATCAGCTGTTTTCGTGTAGAATCAGCTGTTTTCGTGTAGAATCAGCTGTTCTTGTGTCGGAACAGCTGACGTTATTTGAACTTCGTCTTGAGTCGTTCTTGTAAAGAATCAGATGAGCTCTAGAGTCAGCTTATTGTTCTCAAGTTCAATTCGAAATAATTGAGTATTATCCTCCTCCTTCTTCATCATTTCTAAAAAATATTTGATTGCTATCATTTTGAATTGTTTGAACAATGAGACCTATAAAACTATAGAATAGGAATACGACATTAAAGCAATATTATTCTTTTGTGTCTTTGACACTAATAGTTCTACTAAGATCTAGGAAAAAGAAACGGGTCTGTGTAAACTGAACAACTGCTGTGTTTCATGGGTCCCGCTGTACCGTAGTTATATTGTAATAAATGAAATCTTGACATCAAAGGGAAAGTCAAATCAGTGGAATTCTTAGGTTTTTAAGGTTCAAAATATCGCGAAGGATTTTGTGATTTTCAACTGAACTACAGTGATAACCAAAACCTCGAGTTGTGACTTTTAATTGTCCGATGAGCAAAAGACACAGCATGAATTAATCGCTTGCCAGTAAACTATTTTCTTTGTAACAACATCAAATGCACTTCAGTATTGCTAAACTGTCGCCTTCCCATCCTACAATTTTCTGGTTATCATTGTTAGAAATTTCCTGAACATTTCGGGGCAAATTAAGTGAACGGGGAACGAAGACGACATTGTATTACATTCCTTCATCGACCCCAACTCCCTCAACGTTGAAGGAAATAAAAAATAAGTTACAAGTCGTGACTTCACTAAAATATGAAAAATATGTATTTTCAAAATTTGGAGAAATTAATTGAACTAATTTTCCATGAAATCATTATATTTTTAAGTGAAGAGAAGAGTAAATTTTCTTTTGTTTCTTAACGATGCATTTTTTCCTGGAACTGTTTAATCACATAGTCCCATGTTCATGGTTAGGGTCGAGAATAATAATCACCCCATGTTCATGGTGCTACGGTCGAGAATAATCACATAGTCCCATGTTCATGGTGCTAGGGTCGAGAATAATTACGATATTTGGTAAAAATCCCGTCTTAATGAGTTGAATTTTAAAAAACGATAAAATTTACCTTTATTTAGTTACTAAACTATTCAGTTCTCCGTCATCTTGGGTACAGTTGGTGTGGGTACTTAGTTCACTATCCTGTAAATTGTACAGTTAGTATTAGTACTATAGTTCACTATCCTGTACAGTGTACAGTTGGTGTGGGTACTTAGTTCACTATCCTGTAAATTGTACAGTTAGTATTAATACTTAGTTCACTATCATGTACACTGTACAGTGTACAGTTAGTATTAGTACTATAGTTCACTATCCTGTACATTGTACAGTTAGTATTATTACTTAGTTTACTATCCTGTACAGTGTACAGTTAGTATTAGTACTATAGTTAACTATCCTGTACATTGTAAAGTTAGTATAATTACTTAGTTCACTATCCTGTACAGTGTACAGTTAGTATTAGTACTTTAGTTCACTATCCTGTACATTGTACAGTTAGTATTAGTACTTAGTTCACTATCCTGTATATTGTACAGTTAGTATTAGTACTCAGTTCACTATCCTGTACATTGTACAGTTAGTATTAGTACTATAGTTCACTATCCTGTACATTGTACAGTTAGTATTAGTATTCAGTTCACTATCCTGTACAGTGTACAGTTTCTTTCAGTGTCAAAATTTGGCATAAAGTAAAAATCCCTTAACACACTCACACTCGCAGCTAACTAATATTTTCAGTTGAATTGTTTAAAACTATGCGTTCATCATAAAATATTCAGAAAGTTTGAATAGTACAGTTGTGAATCAGACATGTCTACTCTATATATAATAAGATGACTTGATTGGTTATGAAATCTTAACTTCAACATTATGAAGAAATGAAGTTGTCCAATTAGTTTATATGTGCTAAAAGACGGGAATAGTAGTTCTAAGAAACCTCTAAATTTCTCTGAGTCTCGTAATTGGACTGCTAGTGCAGATTTACAAAATAAAGTATCGGGATTCATTAGAGACCAAAAACAAAGATGAAAAACGTAAAAATATTTCTGTTGTTAACTAATGTCAAAATTTAAAAACAGGTTGAAAAAAAATTGTTAATCATTTGTTTCTGTAATATTTAACCGTCACGTTTACCACAGATTTCTCTGTATTTCAATACAAAGACAATGGACTCACTTGGATTTAACGGTTCTGTCAATATTTCATAAAGCTGTGACTTTCATTTACAAGTTGACCCATTAAACATAAATCTTTAGCCTTTTTTGAATATTTTTGTCGGCTTATGTATTTGGAATGAAAAAAGTGTAGACACAACAAATCCGCAAGCAAAAAGAGTAATCGATTCTACCATCAATCACATTAATAGTATGTTCCTTTACAACAAATCATGTTCTGTCTTTTTTCTTAAATGATTTGAAAAAGTTGATTTCGAGATTTGTCCAGCCTCGTGATTTTTGAAGGTTGAATTTGCGGTCTTATAGAGCATAACAACTTCTATTAATATTAAGAAAAAATATTTCATAATATTGCACTCCATTAACAATAAATAGCCAGTCACTTCTTTTAATGTTTCAGAACAAATCAACATAACTATTGATTCTTTCCATCGATTTTATGTCAATTAAAAACAGTCTTGAATGCACTTTGCCCAGACCTACTAAAGTCTAAAACTAGGTTTTTGATCATACCATACATTAACAAAAATACATATGTTAGATCAAGTCGAGATGATAATCTAAATCTATTAAATTAACCGTTAATTTTTTCATCTAAATCTATGAAATTAACCGTTAATTATCTTTTATTTCAGGAGGTTTTTCGTTCATTTTAACTTTAGATTCTAAAATCAGTGGGTCTATATGTTCAACGGGAAAATAGCATAAATCGTATTTTCAGAAAAGGCTCGGGTAAACGGTGGGACTAACTATGACTCCCAAGCTAGTGATAAAATACATTTTAAAGATTACCTTTACCTTGTGGTTTCTTCCACCATTCCTTTCTCCGGTATAGATATCCCTGGATGAGAAATAGATTAAAATAGATTAGAACAGATTTGAATAGATTATAATATATTAGAATAGATTTGAATTTTGAATATACACAGTGAGGTAAAAAAAGTGTTATTTGCGGCGCCTGATGCAAAATTGTACCTTTTTGTGCAACTCTCCTGTATGGTGTTTTTTCAATATTTTTTGAATGTTTTTAATTTTTTTTGGTACTTCAATGGCCCAAAATAAAATCCGCGAACCTTTTTTTCTCTCAAAATCAAAAGTTCAGAAAAACAAAAGTGTGTAAATAAATTGTTTCTATCGAAATCTAAAATTTTTAAAAGAATCACAGAATCTCAAAATATTTGCAAAATTGTAATTAAAAAAATTCGCAATTTTCAGTTCTGGTGTAATTTTTACAGAAAAATTGTTTTTCAATGGTTCTTAAGGATTCAACTGAATAGCGTATATTTTATACTTCAGAATATAATAAGAAGAAAGAAACTAGATAATTTAAATAACTTTAAATAACTTTTACAAAAAAGGTACAACTTTGCACCAGGCGCCGCAAATCACACTTTTTTTTGACTCACCCTGTATTAGAATAGATAAGATTAGATAAGAATAGATTAGAATAGATTAGATTAGATTAGAATAGAATAAAAAAGAAAGGAATCAATTAGAAAATATTAGAACATATTGAAATAAATTAAAATAGTTAAGAATAAACTAAAATTGATAAGGATGGATAAGAATGGATCAAAATAGAATAGAATAAATAAGAATAAATCAGAATAAATTAGAATAAATCAGAATATATTAGAATAGATTAGAATAGACTGGAATAGATTATTATAGAAAAGATCAGATAAAATTAGATTAGAATAGATTATATTTTAAAATTGATAAGAGCAGTTTAGATCAGATAAGAATAGATCAGAATAGATTAGATTAGATTATAATAGATTAAAATAGATAAAAATATAGATTAGAATAGATTCGAACAGATTAGAATAGATTAAATTAGAATAAACTAGAATAGATTAGAATAGATCAGAATAGTTTAGAATGGATTAGAATAGATTATTATGGATAAGAATAAATTAAAATAAATTAGAATAGATTAGAGCAAATTAGAATAGATTGGAATAGATTAAAATATACGAGAACAGTCAAAAATAGATTTAAATATAACAGAGTAGATCAAAATATGTTTGTACAAAAAATGTATGTCTATATCCACCTACGTCTGTATGTCTGTATCTACCTTTTTCTGTGTCTACCGGTATCTGCATGACTTTGTATACTTATGACTGTATATCTATGTTTAGCTGTGTCTGTATGTCTGAATAGCTGTGTCTGTATGTCTGTATCTACCTCTGTCTGTATGTCTGTGTCTACCTATGTCTTGATATCTGTGTCTACCCATGTCTGTATGTCTGTGTCTAAATGCCTGTGTCAACTTGTGTCTGTATGTCTTTGTTTGTATCTACCTGTGTCTACCTACGTCTGGGTGTACCTATCTTTGTCGGTACATCTCAGTCTATCTGTGTCTGAATGTTTGTCTACCTGTGGCAGTATGTCAGTGTCTGTATTTCTGTGTCTACATGTCTGTAACTGTATGTCTGTGTCTGTTTGCCTGTCTCTATGTCTGTGTCTGTGTCTACCTGTGTCTATGTAGATGTAGTCCCAGATTTAGCTGAGGAATATCGTAGTAAACTGTCAAAGTTAAGGACAGCATAACTAGACCAAACAGCAGATATATACCAACACTAGTCTTATACAGGTCCCTAGATAGATAGATAAATAGATAGATACCTGCACTAGTCTTATACAGGTCCCTAGATAGATAGATACCAACACTAGTCGTGTGTACAGGTCCCTAGATAGATAGATACCAACACTAGTCGTGTGTACAGGTCCCAAGATAGATAGATACCAACACTAGTCGTATGTACAGGTCCCTAGATAGATAGATACCAACACTAGTCGTGTGTACAGGTCCCTAGATAGATAGATACTAACACTAGACGTGTGTACAGGTCCCTAGATAGATAGATACCAACACTAGCCGTGTGTTCAGGTCCCTAGATAGATAGATACTAACACTAGACGTGTGTACAGGTCCCTAGATAGATAGATTCCAACACTAGTCGTGTGTACAGGTCCCTAGATAGATAGATACCAACACTGGTCGTGTACAGGTCCCTAGATAGATAGATACCAACACTAGACGTATGTACAGGTCCCTAGATAGATAGATACCAACACTAGTCGTGAGTACAGGTCCCTAGATAGATAGATACCAACATGGTAGTAGATAAATTATAATAAGTTTAAGTTGTTGTTTACCATATTACCATGTTTACAAAAGTTTCCCGTTAATGAAAGACAGGATATTTTACATCCTATTATAGTATCATAATACCGTGATTATTAGAATACCCAATAACCAATATCATCAAGAATTATGATGATCAAAAAATGAATATATAAAAATAATATCTTGATGAAAAGGTTTATTTGATATCTTTTATTAAACAATAAACATTGCCTTCAATATATTTGATGTGGCAAGTGAGTTAGGATAAAGATATATTTGTTCACTAACTGCAATGAAGAATGGGAGGGGGGGAGAAGAAAATGGTTAACTAACCTGTAAAACAGTGTTTCATCGCTATCACCCGGAATGTAGTCACCAAGTCCTGAAAAGTAAATCTTCAAGAACTGTAAATTTACTTTGAAAAAACATTCTTTTTTAAAACATTATTGTTTGTTCCTCGTGGACACATTTTTAAGGGGTAAAATGTAGAAATGGACATAAAAATTGCCAAATGGACATAAAAATTGCCAAATGGACATACAAATTGTCAAATGGATATAAAAATCTCCTTTTGATGCCCAATTTTTCATTTTTTTTTCAGCCAATCATCAAGAATCATGATTTAATATTTAAAATTCTATACCCCTGTCATTNGCTCAAGGAAATATTCTTTCCTTGAAGATTTATGGCGTGACCCGACTTTTTTTGTGTTTTTATAACATTTCACTTACAATATTTTCAATAAAAATTCTGCCAATATTTAAAAAGATAAAAATTTCCAAACAAAATCAAACATTTTGATAAAAGTTTAAAAAGTTTAAAAAGTTTAAAAAGTTTATCTATTTTTATTTAGTTGTAAAAAGGTTTTATTAAGCGTTTTATGATTTCACATCGTTGTAAAATTTATGTCGATATTTTCTCGTATTTTTGATTCAATTATTTCGTATATTTTCGTTTAATATTTTTTTGTTAGATATTTAACCCTTTATTGGCCATCTTTAATCCCTTAAATATAATTTTGTAAAATTTATAATTACATAAATTATCAATCTCCAAAAAGACATTTTCTTGAGTCTGAAGAGAATTAATGAAGAATTTTGAAAAAGGTTAAATTTGCTACTGTTAAAGTCTTCAGCTTTATATTAATGAACCTGTTGCAAAACTTTTAAAGGCATGAGATCAGGGCTAGAAACTGCTGGAAACTAAAACACAAAAGCTTCTTAAAAAGTTAGACTTTTCAATAAATTTTGAATAGTTTAAGCTTTGCCAAAAAAAAATGAAAATAAACCATATGTACACAGTACATAGTACACACCCAACTTACCTATGGTTGTCAGAGAAATGAAAACGAAGTATACAGAGTCCAGAAAACTCCAACCCGGCTCCAGTGCCCAGAAAACAACTGAACCCCATTAACCAATTATTTTAAAATAAGTTTTTAGCACCAAAAAAGCACTTTAATTAGTATCTTGAAAAATCCGCTAAAACCTTCAGAGCAACGAAATTAGAGTATTGATTTTATAAATCCTATTTTTAGATAATTAAACATTATTTCCAGTAATCCTCTATTTATGGAGCGGCATGTCCGATTTTCAACATTATCCTTTAAACCTCCATCTCAGTTTTGTCGTTGTTGACTAGCTTCATTATTCTGACAATTTCCTTCAAGGTTTCTGCATTTTCACAAGCCACTTATAAAGGAAACCACTGTTAAAAATAGTCCATTTAATGCTAGAAATTGCATTAATTATTCTTGTAAATATAACATTGTACTTAGAGACCCAGCTAGAAATTTTCTTTTTTTCTACCATTTTTTGGTTTTCAACTGAATGAAATCCTAGTCCAGAATTGTTTTCAGACGAATTGTGACTTTGTCCATTTTAATTTGTCAGTGCATCTCAGGCCTTTGGAGTTTGAAAATAGGAGGCTAATTCTTACGATTTTACTATTTACTGATTTTCTAACGATTAACAAATTAAAACCAAGTGTGATCCTGTCTTAAATCGGCGTTTATTAATTGCTGTTTTTTTTTCAATTTTTGCCAACCCCTATGATTGGATGTTATTATGTTGTTTTTTTCCTGGATCTTAAAAATATTTTGATAAAATAAAATTTCTTAAGAAGTATACATGTTCAAATAATATAAAAACATTTGACAGAAAAGTTTTTTATCCTTTTCCACAATAATATTCACCCCGGAATGTAGTCACCAAGTCCTGAAAAGTAAATCTTCAAGAACTGTAAATTTACTTTGAAAAAACATTCTTTTTTAAAACATTATTGTTTGTTCCTCGTGGACACATTTTTAAGGGGTAAAATGTAGAAATGGACATAAAAATTGCCAAATGGACATAAAAATTGCCAAATGGACATACAAATTGTCAAATGGATATAAAAATCTCCTTTTGATGCCCAATTTTTCATTTTTTTTTCAGCCAATCATCAAGAATCATGATTTAATATTTAAAATTCTATACCCCTGTCATTTTATATCTAAATTTGACAGAATTGTTTAAATGTCTATTGTTATACTCCCAAATCTATTTTTCTGAACTGAGATAAAAAAGTTTTTTTTGCTTCAAAGCAATTATATTGTATTTGATGTGTTGTAAAGAATTGATGTACCGCCATATTCCATGGTACCTTTTTTGGCAAATTTTCTTTTCCAACGTTAATATGATTAATACGAGGATGCTGAATAAATCTTTGCTTGCTTTGTTTTGAAATATTATAACAGATACAAAATATACAAACTGTTAAAAAATTGAGAAATATGAATTTCACTGGTTCTTCTTGTTAACTTTATCATTACTTTATTAAATATGTTCTTCATTGTTTACGATGTATTTGACAGTTCTAGTGTTTATTTTCAGTATCAAGTTTGTGAGATGCCTGTCCACATTAACTGAGCGATCGCATTCATTCCCTAGGTTTTCTTGTCTAACCATAGGATCCAATTTTTTAAATGAGTTTTTCTCGATTGAGACCCTTACAAAATCCTATAATATGCTTGAAAAAACCAAGCAAAAATGGCAAACTTCAAACTGCCATAACTTCCTCAATTTTAGTACTACAAATGAAAAATTTGAATTATCAAGAGAGCTCAGTTATTAAAAGAGCTTTTCTGGGACACTCTGTATTTTCTACTAGAAAGTCATAGTTCCACTCCAAAAAAAGAGAATTGGTTAAAAATTTGAAATTAATTACACTGGACTAAAAATATGAAAGGTTTACACCGTCAGGCTGCAAAGATTTAGTGATTTGAAATATAGTTTGAAGTAATTGTTATCTCACGTTATTTACTAAAATGTTATATATTTGATATTTAATACGAGTACTCATGTTTAAATATGAGTACTCGCATTAACCACTTAATATATTAACACATTTTCTAATTTACCATTAACTAAGAGTACGATAAATGTCGAGAGAAATTTAGAAAATTATTTAAAATTTTTATAACTTCTGAAGTTTGTTTGTTTACAACTTTTTAACTAGATGCAAAGGTTACAAAAGCTTAAAATCAGGAAGCTTTGCACCACTTTTTTTCTGACAGCATTATCAAATATTAAACTTAAATATTGAATATTGAATATGATGGTTTTAATTTCAGTCGTTGGCGGGGTTTCATGTTTCATAAACAAGGCATAAAATAAAAGAATTAAGCAGTTCCACAAATGATACGATATAATTTTTCAACCCTTTTTTTTCTTCAAAACCATTGTAATTTTTATTTTGTATTATCTTTGAAAGAAATAAATCAAATTATTTCTTCTCCTAATCTGGTTAAATATGTATTTTTACAAAAAAAAATGTTTTTTGTTCTTTTTTTTCTATATTTCTGTCTGAAAACTAAATCTTTTTTAATTGGGTTCACATTTCCATATTTTCTTTTAAATGTAATGTTTAAAGTGCTGCTAGTGCAGATTTACAAAATAAAGTATCGGGATTCATTAGAGACCAAAAACAAAGATGAAAAACGTAAAAATATTTCTGTTGTTAACTAATGTCAAAATTTAAAAACAGGTTGAAAAAAAATTGTTAATCATTTGTTTCTGTAATATTTAACCATAACGTTTGCCACAGATTTCTCTGTATTTCAATACAAAGACAATGGACTCACTTGGATTTAACGGTTCTGTCAATATTTCATAAAGCTGTNAGTCCTAGCATTTCCAAAATGTGGTCTGCCATTTATATGCTATCTATATTACCCGAGAATTTATCCCCCCCTTCACTTAGCCTCCCAGACACCCAATGTTTCTAAGTTCTAAAGCAGAAAAGTTTGATTTAAAATATGAAATGCCTAGAACTTGAGATAAGATTTGTCACAAATACCAGGAAATTACGGAGGTCTGCACCCTGACAGCTTGGAAGCCGACCCGGAGATATCATATCTAGATCATTTGAAACCCGGAGTTATATATCTAGATAATTTTAAACCCGGAGATACAACCTACTCAGATCTTGATAAATTTAAAACTCTCTTTAAGAGATTTGGTACAAGATACGTGATATTCAGTGGACTACCTTCAAATAAGGGAATTTTTAAGTCTAAAATATATTTCGGTGCTTTAACTTTTGACCCCCTACTAATCCTTGGAAACCTAGATATAGCCAGAGACCTTAAGTGTTGCGCAGAATAAATTATTTGCAATCATGTTATATTTAATAATTTCATTAGTCTGGATTGGACTGGATTGGTCTGGATTGGTCTGGATTAGACTGGATTAGACTGGATTGGACTGGATTGGTCTGGATTGGTCTGGATTGGACTGGATTAGACTGGATTGGACTGGATTGGTCTGGATTGGTCTGGATTGGTCTGGATTGGTCTGGATTGGTCTGGATTGGTCTGGATTGGTCTGGATTGGTATGGATTGAACAGGATTGGATTGGACTGGATTGAACAGTATTGGATTGAATTGAATTGGATTTGACTAAATTTGACTGGATTGGACAGGATTGCATTGGACTGGATTGGCTTGGATTGGCCTGGATTTTTCAGGGTTGAACGGGATTTGTCTAAATGGATTTGAATTGTTTTTAAATTAAAGTTTTTAAATTAAAGTTTTTTAAAATTGATCTAAATTGGTCTTGATATTACCTGAATTGATCAAAATTTATGCAAATTATCGTTATTGATTTGAATTGATTTAAACTGAAATGAACTGATTTGAACTGATTTAAACTGATTTGAACTGATTTGAACTAATTGAATTGATTTGAATTGATTTGAATTGATTTGAATTGATTTGAATTGATTTGAATTGAATTGGTTTGAATTGGTTTGAATTGGTTTGAATTGGTTTGAATTGATTTGAATTGATTTGAATTGATTTGAATTGATTTGAATTGATTTAAATTGATTTGAATTGATTTAAATTTTATTAATTTTAGTTGATTTTAGTTGTTTTGAATTAATTTTAATTGATCTTCATTAGTCGAAATTGATTGAATTGATCTTAATTGATCAATAGATAAATCTGAATTGGTTTTGGTTCCTGAAGGTGCTAGAAATGCCAGTAATATAAAGATAGTTCCCATGGTTGCGAGATGCACAAGTCTAACCTAAAATATAAAAAAGTATTTTCAAAAAGTCTATTAACCCGAGCAAAAATAATGATAACGATTTCACCCTCTTTTGACCAACATTACCGACCTCTGATTCACCCAACAGAAGGAAGTTAAGTTACTTAACGTCTCTTGGGACAATTAAGAAAAATAACAACCCGCTCTGCGAAGTTTTCGCGAAAAAAGTTGAGCATTTTCGTCTCAAAAGACGATAAAATTCTATTAACTTTCTTGTAAAGTAGTTGTGAATAATTATATTTACAGGGTCATAATCTAATCCTTGTAACACTTTAGATATTGGTATCAAATATGTATCAAAAAGTTTTCTTTTGTCAGAGTAACATTTCTTGAGGCAACAATTTAGCAATTATATTTTTTGTCAAGCCTTAAAAAATTAATTATTTAAATTTTAATGATTTGAAAACGGATAAAAAAGATTTCTATCGCTTAAGTTGCTTAAACTCTAAGAATCACAAAAATACTGATTTAAAAAAAAAATAATAAATACAAGGGCGTATACAGGGGCCCCTAGAACTCAACTATCACTCCTTTTTTTACCAGAAGAGTGAAGATTGAAAAGCAAAGAACCAATTAGTTTTTTTTCTCCTTGTTTTGATTGAAGGAAAGATAAAGTAGAGGTTTATTTATGACTGATATCCAAGAAGCCAAATGTTCAGTTCGAATTTGCCCCCCTCCCCCAAATTTATTTCTGTATACGCCCCTTCAATGTACATACCTCTAGATGACCAAAGTTAGATAATTTCTCTAGTAGACTCGACAGAAAACTATAAAAACCAACAATTCAATTATTTAAAGATGTGCAATATGCATGGAAAATTGAAACGAAAATATCTGTAAATTATACCAAATTTACTATGCTTTAATCATAAAAATCGACAATGTATTTACAGGGTGTCCCACGAAACATGAGAGGAGCAAGATTACTGGAATATCGTTTATGCAACATTTATTTTATGAAGCAATTTTAGCAGTAGAATTATATAATTAATATTCACAAAATAGTCCTAGCATTTCCAAAATGTGGTCTGCCATTTATATGCTATCTATATTACCCGAGAATTTATTCAATTTGGGTTTATTCAACAAAATTGAAATCTGTACGAAATTCTTAGTTCCTTAGGTGTGACACCCTGTATCTATATATAGACAAGGTAATCCCTGTTTGTTTGTTTGTATGTCAATGTCCAATCAGAACTTATCACGCCCTTGACCGATTTGCCTCAAATTTTAATTAAGGAAAATTCAGTTTTTTTTGTATTAATTACGAATATAATATAATAAATATAATATAATTAGTTTAATCAATACACTAATTATTTACTTTTCAGTCAGAGGACTTACAGCTGTTTCTCTCAGAGAAAACAAATGTTTTTCAAGTGTTTTAAAGTGATATAAAAAGACAATTTGTAAACAACCACGGTTTCGAACAATCGCTTAGTCAAAATCAAAGTTTAAAGATAAAACAATGTCAGACTTTTAGGAAGCATCGTACCCTAAGTTTTTAATGTCACCATTTTTTATTGTTCTCAATTGGCGTATTCTGAAAAATAATAAATGTCGACATTTTTTCCTTTAAATTTTCATCTTTAACAATCCAAATACATTCCCTGAGGTATTGTGAGTTTCCACACAAAAATAGGCCTGATCGGTTCAGCCGTTTTGACGTTATTTGAAAACAGACAGACAGACGAGGGGGGAGTGCAGAAGTCCTCAATGAGTAATCACCGCCACCCAAACGTGTTTTGGGGAATGCGCGCTCCTTAATTTGTAATTTCCACTCATTGAGGACTTATACACTCACCCCCTCCCCCCCCCTCCCTCCCTAAACAAGTCAAACATAGATTACATTACAGACTCACAAAGGTAACCCAGTCAAATTAACCCATTAATACCGACCAGCTCCCCTGTCGACAGAATTTCATAAAATTTCAAGGACAGTTTCCTTAGAGGTCTTTAATAAATTTATGTTTTCAAACTTGTTTGCGTCTATATCGACACATTCGAATTAACCTATTATGGCACGCGTCTATATCGTCGCACTAATTTCAAATTACATGTTACATTACAGACTCACCAAGGTACCCCAGTCAACGTGACATAATTTCAAATTACAAGTTAATTACAGACTCACCAAGGTACCCCAATCAAAGTGACATAATTTCAAATTACAAGTTACATTACAGACTCACAAAGGTAACCCAATCAAAGTGACATAGTTTCAAATTACAAGTTACATTACAGACTCACAAAGGTAACAAAGTGACATAATTTCAAATTACAAGTTACATTACAGACTCACAAAGGTTACCCAGTCAAAGTGACATAATTTCAAATTACAAGTTACATTACAGACTCACAAAGGTAACCCAGACATAGTGACATAATTTCAAATTACAAGTTACATTACAGACTCACAAAGGTACCCCAGTCAAAGTGACATAATTTCAAATTACAAGTTACATTACAGACTCACAAAGGTACCCCAGTCAAAGTGACATAATTTCAAATTACAAGTTAAATTGCAGACTCACAAACTATAGTCGGTTTAAGTACTTCCTGGGACATAAAATTTCACTTGGTAAAATTAATGTTTTAAATGTGGTTCCTGTAGGTGGGAGATAGCAGGCGTTGAACCAGAGCGGAGAGGAACATCAGAGTGAAGGGGATTCCCAGTATAGCGTAGACTATGCAGGTCAACTTACCAGCTGGTGTCACAGGGTTAATATGTCCATATCCTGAACATATACACAGGGTTAATATGTCCTTATCCAGTACATATATACAGGGTTAATATGTCCATATCCAGTACATATATACAGGGTTAATATGTCCATATCCTGTACATATATACAGGGTTAATATGTCCATATCCTGTACATATATACAGGGTTAATATGTTCATATCCTGTACGCATATAGAGTGTCAATATGTCCATATCCTTTACATTAGTAGTTGAACCGTGTCCATGCAGCTTAACCATGTCTTGCTTTTCATTAAATCTGGTGCACGTCCACACTTCACAATACTCATGTTTCTGAATGCTTTTTTACCCTTTTTAACACTTTAAAGCATATTTAAGATTTAAAATGAAAGTTTAATGAAAATTTCAATTTGATTTAAGTGGAGTAAAGTGCGTCTCAGTTTAGGCTTTTAAATTGCATACAGTTTCATAAGTTTTTTTAAAATAGTGTGTATAATATAAATAAAAGATTTGTCAACAATATAAAGAGTTCCAATATTTTCTTCAGAAAAATAGTGTTCAATATTTTCTACAGAAAAATAGTGTTCAATATTTTCTACAAAAAAATAGTGTTCTATATTTTCTACAGAAAAATAGTTATTAATAATTTCTACAGAAAAATAGTGTTCTAAATTTTCTACAGAAAAATAGTGTTCTATATTTTCTACAGAAAAATAGTGTTCTATATTTTCTACAGAAAAATAGTGTTCTATATTTTCTACAGAAAATAGTGTTCAATATTTTCTACAGAAAAATAGTGTTCTATATTTAAGAATTCTTGAAAAAAATTTCAATACAGAAATGTCTAAAATCGTGAAAATAATTACTTTTTGAAATTTGGATTTTTACAATTTTAAAAAATTTATTGAGAAAAAAGGTTGGGGGGGGGCATACCCATAAATGAATATTTATTAANTGGGGTGGGTATTGGTAAGATATCATCCTTTTAGCAAAATCTTTTAAGCTAGCAGGGGCGTACTGAAGCTTTAGTGAAAGAAAGGGGGGGGCAGTGACCTCAGTGTCCCCCCCCTATTACACCCCTGAAGCAGAGGTTATTCTTTATGACTTACGAAAAGTAGCTCAAACTAATTCTTGATATTTATTAATTCCGGGCTTATTACCTATTGTAGTAACAATAGTTACTGTGAATAAGAAGCTTTGTCCAAAACTCCAGTTAGAATTATTTTTACTTTTCTCCAGAGGACTTATCCCGTGATAGGTTATATCTAAAAATATTATAATTATGTTTTCATTAATAACAACAGGGGCGGATACAGGGGGGGGGCGGGGGG